GAGACAGAATCTCACTTTGTTGCCCTCAGTAGAGTGCTGTGGCATCACAGCTCACAGCAACCTCCAGCTTTTAGGCTTAGACAATTCTCTTGTCTCAGCCTCCTGAGGAGCTGAGACTACAGGCATCCGCCACAACGCCCGGCTATTTTTTTGTTGCAGTTTGGCCAGGGTCGGGTTCGAACCTGCCACCCTCAGTATATGGGGTGGGTGCCCTACTTACTGAGCCACAGAGGCACCTCCCATGAGACTAGTTTCAAAACAAAAAAGAGAAGAAAAAGAAAGGAATGGAGAGAATAAAGAAAAATCTTCATTTCTCCTTTCTTATGTCTGAATGAGTACTCAAAAAAGACCAAATCTTAAGCACTTTCCTCACTCAGTAAGTGTAAAACAACTATCAAAATAAGAAGTAATTTTAAAATAATCAGTATTTGTTCAATTCATGTAAGTATCTCCTATGTGCAGGACAACATACTGTCTAGTTTTATTTCACTGTCAAAAGTGAAGTCCATAAAATTAGCAAAATGGCACAAGCTATTTACCCTTTTTTATTCTCTAGAAGAAGAGTTAACAATGAAAGTAATTTGCATTCCTGGCGGCGCCTGTAGATTAGTGCGTAGGGCGCTGGCCACATACATTGAGGCAGAGGGGTTCGAAACCTGCCTGGGCCTGCTAAAACAACAATGAAAACTGCAACAAAAAAATAGCTGGGTGTTGTGGCAGATGCCTACATTCTCAACTACTTAGGAGGCTGAGGCAAGAGAATTGCTTAAGCCGAAGAGTTTAAGGTTGCTGTGAGCTGTGACACCACCTGTGAGCTGTGACACCAAGGCTCTCTACCCAGGGTGACAGCTTGAGACTCTACCTCAAAAAAAAAAAAAAATTGTAACTCATAATAAACCTGCTATTTCTGTCTACATTTCTAGATAAAACACAAATGTCCCAGAATCAATAATACAACCTATTAGGAATGAGGCAGTAACTATACAGCCATGTGCTATGACAAGGGCTGATTCTATAGGAGAGTACTTTTCCCCAAAAGATTTTTCATCTTTGACATGAGTTCATGTTTCATTCAACTCTTGCACCATTTCATCTGTTTTCAAACACAGTAAAGTCAGAAGCATGAAATTCTGCTGCATTAACACACAATACACATCACTATCAACATAGTACATTAACAGTGGAAAGACTACTTACTGAGAATGAACTAGAAAGACAAAGAAAGAACAAGTGAGCTTACAATACAGCAAAAAAGGAAAACATTGTAAAAGTCAGTGTGGCAGGCACCTGTAGTCCCAGCTACTTGGGAGGTTGAGGCAAGAGAATCACTTAAGCCCAAGAGTTTAAGGTTGCTGTGAGCTGTGACGTCATGATACTCTACCAAGGGTGACATAGTGAGACTCTGTCTCAAAAAAAAAAGAAAGTTAGTCAAAATGAATGAATTAAGAGGCTCAGCAACTGTAGCTCAGCAGCTAGGATGCCAGCCACATACACTGCTGGAAGATTCAAACCCAGCCCGGGCCTGCCAAACATAATGACAAATACAACCCCCAAAATAGCCGGGCTTTATGGCAGGTGCCTGTAGTCCCAGCTACTTGGGAGGTTGAGGCAAGAGATTTGCTTAAGCCCAAAAGTTGGAGGTTGCTGTGAGCTGTGACACCACAGCACTCTACCAAGGATGACATAATGAGACTCTGCCTCAAAAAAAAAAAAAGAATAAGAAAAGATTATCTTTTCTAAGCATAAATATATTCTGCTTAGATATTAAAATGACTGTCAACTACACACAGAAAACTTTCAACATCTAAGCTTGAAAAACAAAACTCTTCACAACCTAAGCACTATCCATCATTATGAATCATGATGATTATGATCCATCATCTTCCCCTTCCACGCGACTATCATACCTCTTCCACCTGTGCCCTTCTGTGCATGCTGCTCTGGGCCAAAGTGCTCCTGCTCCCTTCAACTCACCCTTCAAGTATGAAGGGTTATTCATTTCTGTAAAGACTTTCCCCAGGTCCCAGGCAGCAATCTTTCCCTTTAAGCTGCTGCCAAATCACAAAAGAGAGTAAATCGCTCCAGATGTGCAGAATAAAAGAAGCAAGAAAACAAAGGAATACAGGCTCGGCGCCTATAGCTCAACCGGCTAAGGCACCAGCCACGTACACCTAAGGTGGCGGGTTCGAATCCCCAGCCCGGACCGCCAAACAACAATGA